ACAAGCCGGCACTGGCACTGACAATCAATCAATCGCGCGCATGTCTCAGCAATTGAAATTATTCTTGCTTTGCGTGGTTTCACTGCCTAAGCATAGTCTGGGAGCAGCACGTGGCATCTCTGGTCCATGTTCAGCAGGATGATTTGGCCTTACACTGCGTTTATGCATTCTAGAACTGCACCTAGAACGACTACAGCCTTATGATTAATTTTCGCCATTCTACAAAAAAACCTTGACCAGCTCAAGTTATAACCTCCCCGCTAAAGGCTTGTAGCGGCTTGTACCAGCCACCCACCATTGGCTGCAGGAGTAACAAATGAACTTCAGTTTTGTGTTTGGTGGGTGGTCCAGGCCTGAAGGTTGGGGTTTGACTGCGGCGCAGGTTCAGCCGTTGTCATATAACATTTATTGTTTACCTGCAATGAAATTAGTACAAAACCCTGCGGCGCAGGCGCAGCCGCGCTAGGTAGCCTATTATTTTGACCCCCAACCATACTTGAGGACGACAAGAATCTAATGCTGCCTCTGGGGCCCTTCTCATAGTACACACCAATGCCCACACAGCGCAAAGGAGAATCAATGTACGATGCTAGGAACCGGAGTTGCTATGCGCCGGGCTCTCAGATCGATGTTGCAGCCGACCACTTTCATGGCCACTGAGTTGAGCTGTGCACTGTTTCTTATTTTAGCAATGCACATGTGCAATTCAGGCACTTGGATATCATGACTTTAGTTGCCGTCAACAATTACAAGTTTTGTCATTGTGAGGTTTCCAAGTTCAGTATGGTTGAAGGAATGTAAATAAGATGGGGCGTTGCAATGTAGAAGAAGAAATTGGGGGCTTTGTCACGTGGAGGCCATGGGGTCTTCTGCCGCAGGCTATTAAGTTTGGCACTGAGCTATTCCTGGCAAGATTCAATTGAGCACGTGAAATTCAAACTCCCGTGGGAAGTATGTGGAACGGCTGTCCATGCACAGCGAATACCATATGGCTAGTACCGAAATAATATGGCTCCTACTTGTCTTCTTGCCGCTTGTTACCCGTGGAAGCCCCTTGCTCAACCCCTGCGCAGGTTTCAAATCTAGGGTTTGATGGAACCAGTACAATCTCAGAATTTAAGGGTAGGGCTTTGGTGGTCTGTCGCATTTCGCTCGTCACAAGGTTTGCGGAGAGAAGGCGTGTCTGGAGCAACCAGACCCTCTTGGGAATATGATGAATGAGTGAGGTCATGACCCAGTCTGGCTTGGGAGGCATCAAGTAGACTAAGCACGCAAGAACTCAAGGGTGCCACATCGCAATCACCTCCCCTGATCCGATAATTGGTCCTACTTAGTTAGGTTCACGGTATTTGGGTTGTCATCTATTAAGCCCTCACAGTTCTTGCGCCCCAGCACCTGTTCCAAATCTGATGTTGTTCGACCACTTCCGTGCAATGATTACAGTTAGTGCTAATACTTAGAACCACAGCACACACCTCTCCTGTAAAACGCCTCTACATTGATGCCACAGGATTCATCCCCCCGCCCGACGGGCTGGAATCGTCCAGTATCACTCTCAAGCTGCCTCTACATCTAAACGTCGCAACTGGCTGTATAACTTGTTCTCTGAGCTCAATGCAAAATAGCTCCCCGCTCCGCAGCATCTGCGACACGGCGTGCCTTGCGATGCGTTGATGGTTGATCTTGCAAGGCCCCTAGAGGATTCATCAGACCACTGAGGACTTTGAGGACGCTTGGATAATCACTTAGATATTGATTTGCAACCCTACATCAACTAGAACGTCATAGCAAGCTACCTGACATGGGTACCAGGAGAAGCACGTCAACTTCAGAATTCGGTTGACAACCGGGACCTCGAGCCTCAAGCTTGCAGTTGGCTGCGGCGCGCACTCAGCCGCTATTGTCCAAACCTTCATGAGACGACGCGGCGCCAACACTGCC